GAGAGAGAGCAGAATTCACTTTTTTTTTTTTTTATCTATTGTATTTTATAATATATATTATTATAATATATATAATATATATATATATTATATATTCTACACGCGCTCACACACACAATATATAGAGGGAGAGAGAGAGAAGAGATAGAGGAGAGAGAGAGAGAAGAAGAATTCATATTTTTTTTTATCTGTGTAATAATATATTAGTTACTATTCATACACGCCGCTACCACACTAATTATAGAAGAACAGAGAGAGAGAGAGAGGGAGAGAGGAGAGAGAGGAGAGGAGAAAGACGAGAGAGAGATTGGGAAGAGAGAGAGGAGTACGAGACGACGAGAAGAGGGAGAGGAGTGAAGATGAGAGAGAGAGAGTACGAGAGAAGAGTGCAATGGGAGAGAGATGACGAGATGAGGAGGAGAGGAGAGGAGTGATGAGAGAGATGTGCCCCTTTCCGAGCCCGTGCGTGTTGTGTGTGATAGAGGGGTGGCGCGTATTTGTGTTGTGTATGTAAAAACAAAGAGCAGAGAGAGAGGAGGGAGAGAGAAAGAGAGAGAGAGGATATGAGGAGAGAGAGATGAGAGAGAGAAAGAGAGAGAGAGAAGAGAGGATAAGGAGAGAGGATTCATTCGAGAGAGAGAAGAGAGAGAGATGAGGAGAGCGCGAGCGAGAGAGAGAGAGAGAGACGAGGAGAGAGAGAAGCTTGCGAGCGGAGAGAGAGAGAAGAGAGGAGCGGAGGACTCGAGAGGGGAGAGAGAGAGGAAAGCGCGAGCGATGAGATGCAGACGAGAGAAAGAGAGAGGAGGAAAGGAGGACAACGCGCGAGAGAAACAGAGCAGCGTGCAATGTGCCGCGGCGCGCGTGTGTGTGTGGTGCTGAGAGAGAGAGAGAGGAGAACGAAGAGCAGAGAGATGAGAGACGAGAGGAGAGAGAGAGCTTGTGCACCGATTGCGCTGATTTGCTGTGTGGTGTGTGTGTGTGTGTGTGTGTGTGCGGTGTCGTGCGTGCGTGGCGTGCTTACGTGCTTGCTGGCACTGCTACGTGCCGTGCGTAGTGTGCCGTGCGTGGTGAGAGGCGAGAGAAGGGTGGCTGTGCGTAGTTTGTGCTGTGTAGTGTTTGGTTTGTTTGAATCACAAGTACTTATCCATTACTACCCCCGCTAAACTACAGACAGTGCGACCACGTTGCATAGGGCTCATACTAGCTATTATTATAAAAAGCTTGCGTTGTGATAGCTGATAGGTAAGATGCAGTTATAAAATCGAGGTGGAAATTTCTGAAATCTTCACGATTGTATGAACAAACTCACGTCTATGACTAAGTATATGTGTTGCGTGCAAATCAATTCTGCCCAATCTACAATTGTAGTTACGACATCGCGATTCGCGCAGCATGCACGCAGATCGATTTGGGCGTTTTCTATCTCATTCTCATTGTACACACTCCTTACTACAGCTGCGTTATAACGCTTATCTTCCGTTCTTACAGCTCGGGGGCCGGGTGTTTACAAAATTACAAATTAATCTAAAACAAGGATAATAGCGGGCCCTTCCTGTTTTCTCGCCTCCCTTCTCTTCGTGTCCTTGCGTTTCTCTCCTTCCCTCTCACACACACTCTGCTTCTCGTCTCTCTGCATCTGCTCTCTCTCTCGTCTCTCTCTCTCTCTTCTCTCTCTCTCTCTCTCTCTCTCTCTTCTCTCTTCTCTCTCTCTCTCTCTCTCCCTTTTCTCCTCTCCTCTTCTTTTCTTTAAAAAAATGTTTGTTTGGGACAGAGGCAAGGGGGGTGTTTAACACCCCAAACACCCTCCCTGCGTACGCCACTGAACAGAATATATGTACTGCAAATACATATTTTAAAGCCAAATATTCAGAAACTGGTCGTGTTTGAAAATATTCTGAACCTCCAGCATTATATTCCCAAAATGACCCATTCTCCAGCAAAATCTCACTGAACATCCAGCAAGCTGGTTGAATTACACCCTTAGCAAGTCTGCTCGTGTGTTATTAGTTATGGTCATAAATCCATGCTGTAAATCTGCGCATTACCCTCACCCTGTATTACTATTAGTATTAGTATTATTATTAATATTATAGAAAATGGAAAATGTGCAATGTTTACAACGGATCTTCCTTCATCATTGAACTCGTTGTTAAATTGCAAAATTGCAACGTTTTTCCACTGCGATCCGCAGTGCATCTATCGATTTGATCCACTTCTCTCTCCGTCTTCGTTATACTTATAGTCGCTATAGGTCATTTATGGGGTTACGAGGTCAGAGGAGTTGATGCGTGCGCGTGATCAACGTAATCTACGTAAAAACTGAAATCGACTAAAACTGTATCAGGAAGCTCCGTAATTCGAAAATACCAGCCAATCGGCGGGCGAAGACAGAACTGATAGCCAATCAGTTAACGTCGCACAAGCGTAACGACCAATCACAAAACGGCATTGGTGGCGCCGGTTACGCGTACTCTTGTTGTTGTTTCGTTGGAGCGCCAAATGTCAATATTTCCTCTACATATTACTATTAGTTCGTTTAATACAAAAGAACGGTCGATTGCGCACAATCAGGTAATTATTTAGCATTATTATATGTTCTAGTTATAGGGTAAAAAATCATAACTTTAAAAACTTAATCAGTTTATTGGATTTTTAATGATTAACATTTTTTCCTACATTAGGGCAGCATTGTCTGATTAGATTAGGCTTACGTTCTGTGTTGACTAGTGTTGTCAATCGGTTGTAATTTCGTAATCTATCATCGGTTAGACCCAAGTAACCGATGATCGGTTACAATCGGTTACTCGGTGTGTTGAATGCCTGCGTGTGCGTAACGTCGTGAACATGTATGTGCCTGTTTAGCCCTGTTTACTCAATTTACTGTTTGTTTTGCACGGTTTACTACTGTGTGTATAATACTATTAGTATTAATTGTATTAATACATCATTTACATGTATGTTAATAAAGGATAGCTTGTATATATATATATATAGTAGCGATGATATCTCTGATTCTCATAACTTTTCCAATTTTTCTTGTCAAGTTTTACATTTATTTCGTTTTTTTCCGTTTTTTTTTCTTTGATGAAATCGATTATGGATTTTGATAACCAAGCGTTTGGTTCGAGCCACTGTTCAACCGATGATCGAGTATAATCGATGATCGTGACATCACTAGACTAGTGTTGACAGTACTCAGGCTGTGTATGTATCGACTGGTGATTTATCATTACACACTTTACGGTAGTTTGCGATTTAACCGTGTTTTTATCGTATTCTGTCACGAGTTGATGATTAATAATAATATAATACTACGCATTACGCTGAGCGGGTCTATGTCCCCCAGGGTACTGCCGGAACGTACCCTGGTACCATAGATCTAATATACCGTAATATATGCTCTGCTGGTACTATCTAATATGCCGGACCATACCTTGCCTACTCCACTAACGAGTCTAGGGAGTCGCCTACTCCTTAACCCTAACCCTAACCCTAATCCTAACCATATCAGATAGTTACCATGGTACGTTCCGGTATACCGGACTGTACCCAGGGTACGTTCCGGCAGTACCCTGGGGGACATAGACCCTATGAGCACTAGTTACTAGTAATCAATCCCAATCTTGTCAAGTAATCTTGTCTATAAATATATTTGTACTTACTGGTTTGAGCACTAATACTTGTATTTATTCCATTTAAGGATGCCAAAATCTCCAGGTAATGCCTTAGCACGTCAGGTGGGAGAGCATGTGCGAGTTTACATACCAGACACTGATGTGTGGGTGGATGGTAAAGTACTCGACAACCACGCAAAGTACACCGTGGAGCTAAAAACGGGCAAAACCATTATCGCACCAGGCAGACAAGTCACGAAGGTACTTCTACTAAGAAATAATCAGGTCCCATTCACAGTTTTATTTCACAAGTGCACAGCTGCACATTTTATAACCTCCCAAAAGTGTACAAATTATAAAGAATTTTGTTTCAGGTTCAGCCAGAAAGTATGTAGACCTATTAATCTTTATTTGCATTTCTCAAAGCAGACAGTGACCATTTACCCTTCTCCCAATGCACAGGCTGTGTGCTTGTGGTCATGTTGATGATTTTTGAATGATCAGCAGGGTTTCTTCTGAGGGAAAATTAGACAAAGGAGGTAATGGCCAGTTTGGGGGAAAAAACGCGCATGATGGATTCAAATACAGGATGTATTGATATACTTATAGGTATATAGCGAGATTCGCTGGGTCCAGCCAACGCCTAATTCTCAGCCCACAACCTCAAACAGTGTACATACTGTGCGTGCGCGCGGTGCGTGCGGCGTGTGCGCCTGCATCCTAGGTGGCAGTGCATGTGTGTTGTGCGGTCGCGAGTGAGGTCGTCGTGCCTGGGTGCCTATGTATGCTGTGCTGTACCTGGCCGTGCATGTGGGTGTGTGTGAGAGACTAAATTTTCAACAGATTGTCGTCTCACATTAGGAAGTCGGCTGTGCTGGAGCAGATCATTGAGCAGGCCACAGCATACCGGTTCCCTTCGCATGATCCGGTAAGGTCCACTCCAGACATCCCAGGCGCTGTTTCATCATCCGTATCATCACATGTCAGTTACTCATCCTGGCCGGCTGTTGGGTCGGCCGACTTGTGGCGTTGAGTCAGGTAACGGCTGAAAACGTGTGCCACCACCAAAAAAATAAAATGTGTTCACAATGTAAATTCACACTTTTTTATTTATTATGGGTTATTTTTTTTTTTATTTTACCTTTCGTCATCCCTGCCAATGGAATCAGTATTAGCCGGACATTTTACCTCTCAGAATGCCGTCCGGATGACAATCTGGGAGTTTTATCGGTGATCAACGCCGCTTGATTGGTTTTTCTTTGTTGCTAAACCGCGGAATGATCGTAAGCTTGGGGGCATGGGGTCACTTGGCAAACGAGAGTACGATGTTGCGAGCCTAAACAGCAAAATCTTCAATTTGGTGTTTGCCGAGCCTGGGCCCGTATGATGAAAGTTGGTGATCATCCTTAAGGTGGGGGCCACAGGGTGGCTGGGCAAATTGCATTCGCAAGAGAAGTATTCATACAGAAAGAAAAAAGGCCTACTGTAACTGAGTCTGGCAAGAGGTGGCATGTTTGTATCCGGCCAAATTCACATTTGGGCGTGTGATTCGCGTCGGTTGCCGTGGCATCAATTTCTTAGTGCGGCAGGGACTTCCTTTGTCTCTGTGGGTTGCTAGTTCCCCGCCCGCTGTTTCTAAACAAGATTGAAGTCCTGAAAAATACCAGGGGAACCGGTTTCACGGAAGCGATACTTAAGTATTGGAATCGTGGATTAAATCACTAATGCAGTGATTAAGAACTTCTCGTACTTAAAGTTAAGTGCTGTTCACCGAAGCAAAGTAATTAAGCTTTAATCATGATTAAGTAATCACAATATTTAATTCTACCTCAGGAGCATGGATTAATGCGACTAATCATAATTAGTTGCTAAGTACTAGAACTTAATGAAGTACGGTAGTACTAAGTATATTAAAGTACGCTGCAGATTTCCCCAATTGGAATATTTTACTTCAATTTTTTCGCAGCAAGGAAATTTAAGATTATCTAAGATTTGCTGTACTACTTCAATCATTATAAGTTTACAAATTAATTCTTTTCATGGTACCGAAACTTGAAGATATTTTGTGTAATTGGTTCCCGCCATAAAAATTGAAATACCGTGTAATTTGTTTTAGAGCTGTACTTCGCATTTCCACCTCGATTACTCGATTCCCCATCGACGTACCTTAAGGGCCGAGCAGGGGGGAGCGAGGACCGCAAAACGTGACTAATTCCATCGTTGATAGTCGGCTAATTAGTGATTAGTTAAATATGTACTTAAATGCGCTTCGTGAAACAGCATTTTTGAGTATGATTATACTAATTCAATAATTACGGGAAGTTTAAGTATGATTAGTGATTAAATTAACCTTAAGTTAAGTACGCTTCGTGAAAACGCGGCCCCAGATCCTAAAAAGATAATGCTAGGGTGTGACGGTGAGCCTGACATGTGTGTGATTGTGTTTTTCCTCCTGCAGCAGATAACAAACGTTGCTGGACAGCGAATCGCGATGGCATGGTGTCTGGCGACCCACAGATCGTCATCCACGTGGAACGCGCTTAGTGAATGCCACTCATTGCCGCGATGAAGCTCAACATGCAACGTCGGCAGGGCTACGAGACGATACTCAGGTACGTGGTACGAGGTCGGGCAGGGCTACGAGACGATATGCTGGTATGTGGTATGAGGTCGCGGGTGTATGAAGATATATGGCAGTACGTGGTATGAGGTCGGGGGCGGGTGTATGAGATTGATATGGCAGGTATGTGGTATGAGGTCAGCGGGTGTATGAGATGATCAATGCAGGTATGTGGTATGAGGTCGCGGGGTTCGAAGACGATATGCAGTAAGTGGTATGAGGGTCGAAGGTGTATGAGATGAATATGCAGGGTACGTGTATGAGCGTCGCGGGGGCTAATCGAGACGATATGCAGGTACGTGGTTATGAGGTCGCGGGGGTACGAGAACGATATGCAGGTAGCGTGGTATGAGGTCGCAGGGTATGAGAGATGATATGGCAGGTACGTGGTATGAGGTCGGCGGGGCTAACGAGACGATATGGCAGGTACGTGATATGAAGTCGCGGGGCTAGCGAGAGCGATATGCAGGTACGTGGTATGAGGTTGCGGGAGTACGAGACGATATGCAGGTACGTGTGTGATGTCGGCGGGGTATCGAGAGCGATATCAGGTACGTGGTATGAGGTCGCAGGCTACGAGACGATATGCAGGTACGTGGATATGAGGTCGGCGGGGGGTACGAGACTGATATGCAGGTAACGTGGTATGAGGTCCGGCAGGCTATGCGGAACGAATGCAGGTACGTGGTAATGAGGTCGCGGGGTACGAGACGATATGCAGGTACGTGTATGAGGTCGCGGGGGCTACGAGACGATATGGCAGGTACGTGGTCATGAGGAACGGCGGGGCTACGAGACGATATGCAGCGTACCATCGGTATAACGGTCGCGGGGCTACGAGAGCGATATGCAGGTACGTGGTATGAGGTCGCGGGTATGAAGATGATATGCAGGTACGTGGTAATGGGTCGCGGGGTATGAAGATTGAATATGCAGGTAACGTGGTGTGAGGTCGCAAGGGTACAGAGACAGATATGCAGGTACATGGTCATGAGGTCGCAGGGCCTAGCGAAGAGCGATATGTCAGGTAGCGTGGTAATGAGGTCGGCAGGTACGTGAACGATATGCAGGTACGTGCGTAGAGGTCGGGCAGGCTACGAGACGATATGCAGGTACGTGGTATGAGGTCGGCGGGTACGAGACGATAATGCAGGTAGTGGTGATGAAAGGTCGCGCAGGGCTACGAGACGAAAATATGCAAGCGTAACCGTGGTATGAGGTCGGGGCGGGGTACGAGACGATATCAGGTAACGTGGTATGAGGACGCGGGCTCACGAGACGATAAATGCAGGTACATGTATACGAGGTCCGCGGGCTACGAGACGATATGGCAGGTTATCGTGGTATGAGGTCGCGGGGGTATGAGAATGATTATGCAGGTACGTGTATGAGGTCCGCGGGGTGTATGAAGATGATATGCAGGTACGTGGTGTGAGGTCGCAGGGGTAACCAAGACCGAATATGCAGGTACATGGTAGAGGTGAGTCAGGGGCTACGGAGACCGATGATGCAGGTACGTGGTATGAGGTTACGCGGAGGGTAAACGAGACGATACTGCGCAGGTTACAGGTGTATGAGGTCGCCGGGGGTATGAGACGGATATGCAGCAGGTTACGGTGGTACTGGAGGGTCCGCCGAGGGTATGAGAGCGATATGGCAGGTACATGTATGAGGCGCGGGGGTTGAGACACAGAGGATATGCAGGTACGGTGCCGGGGAGGCTTGGTAAATGAGGTCGCGGGGTAGCTGAGAGCGGAATAGTGCGACAAGCGGTACGGTGGTGAGGTGAAGGTCGCGGGGTAACAGGAGAAGGGACATATGGGCAGGTACGTGGTGTTGAGGGTCGGCAGGGGGTACGAGATGGATATGCCAGGTAACGTGTATGAGGTCGCGGTGGGTATGAGATTGATGATAAGCAGGTGTGATGGCGGTATGCAGTACAGAGACGACGTGACTGTGGTGAAGGGGCCAAGTAACTGTCTGACTGTGTGAATTGTCCAGTAAACTGTGTCTTACTGTGTGAATGTGTCCAGTAAGCTGTCTCTTGACTGTGTGAATGGTGCGCCAGTAACTGTCTCTTACGGCTCATGCGTAGCCTGGTGTTTTAGAACATCAACTGCTGGCCGATTCAGCATCGCACACTACATCAGTAGCGCGTTCATCATACAGGGATGCCGCATCGTCAAGCTTATCACACAGAAGCCGCGCACAGGAACGCGTCACCTACAGTCGGCCTTACTGGGTGTGGTAAGGCATGCTCTTCTTGGCCATCTGCAATGTACTGCATGTGAGCCTGTTCTGGTACCAGAGTATATGATTAACGTGACGACGGTAATGGTCAGGGGGTGAGGAAGTTTAGCGGATGTGTTGAACAAAGGGAGTCCAACGGAGCAGGGAGAGCCGGAGGGCACCGGAACGTCTCAAGAATAGGTGGGAGTTTGGTGGCAGCAAAAGTGGGGGAGAAGTTCGCAGCGAGCACAAGTAATGAGGAGTCTGCAGTCTTGAAGTTCAAAATCTAAAGCTTAACGAACAATAACGCATGTGCTTATTTTGAACGATTCATGCACATGCACGTCTGGGTTCCAGAAAATTTTCACATTAAGGGACATATTGCTGTAAAAATACGAGTCAATGTCCAGCGAGGGCCAGGGGTCGCTGCTCTGGGAAGCGAGAACACTATAGTTTAGTATACGCAGTAATTTTCAGGGAGTCCAACTCGAACTCCTGTATTGTCAAATCAGGCGAGTTCGTCGAGAAAATAAGATGGGAGTATTTGACTGCCGGAGCTCTGATGTTAACTATTCTCAGCGACCCTTGTACGACGGGTTCTGTCTACGTACAGTGCATGCCCTTCTGCCTCGCGACAGATCTAGGGGCAACATGCAATAGTTAATGATTTGTGTGAATGGTCCGATGGAGTAGTGGAAATGTGGAGGATCATGATGAGTATAGAAACATAACGTTGTCTTGGCCCGTAAAATATTCTGTATAGGCGATAAAAAAAGTTCCGAACGATGTTTGAACATAGATCAAAGAAGGACTCGGATGGTATGATTCAATCGAGAATTCCTTTTTATGAGGAAGTACCTGCGGTGCGCTGCGTATGTGAAGCGCATTTGCATGTTGATGATTTTCCAAGTTTGCGTAAGTCTCCAATGGTTGAATTAACTACTTCAAGGTGGTCACCTCTGTACAGTAGCTTATTTTCGCCCAATAGCAGTAAACCATGATATGGCGAGGCGTGTGATCGTTTGTCAGTGTGGCGTAGTGATTGCACCCGTTTACAGTACGTTGCGGGTGAGTAGGGCTGTGATTCATGGATTGAGGAGACGGACATGCGGGCACTATGGTAGCGAGTGTGGTTATGTGCCGAGAAATTCATTCAGCATGGATCTAGCACGCAATCGCGTTCCTACAACGGTCATGAACGGCGCAGTGTGTGGAAAATACATGTTATACGGGTCAAAAGCAAGGAGGAACCGGGTGGTTTGGTTGATTGCGTAGCTTAGTGAAATGTCAATGTAGGTACGACATGCGTTTGGCGGTGCATTTGCATCTATTGGCGGGCCCAGAGTTGGTGCAAAATGCTCGAGTGTATACTTAATATGTGCGATCGATGCATGTGCATATCGATTAATGACTTTACAGGGACCGAGTAACTCAAGCACTGGTTTTGTAGTGCCAAATTGTAATTGATACTGCTGGGCATGCGGAAAATTTTGATTTTTGTTGACTTGAGAGGATCGGAAGATGGGCAATTGCATTCGCAAAGGTCTGAGTGACACTCAAGCTACTTCAGTGTGCGAGCTACAGAGGTCATTGGTCAAAGAGCTCATTGAGGGCTGCAAGATCCTCTCTACCTGCAATGAACCTAGGAGTTGGCGAGGTGAGGCACTTGGTAATGCATCTGCTGTCGTCATGGCTTCTCGTCGGGAAGAGGTATAGCCAATAAGCACGCCGTTGCTGTGGCATGTTGTTAGTAGTCAGACAGCACCTATATTATAATTACACTAAACTTTGTTAAGCAATTTACGATACAAACAGTGTCTACTACTTGTTTACTATTTTGCACAGAGTAATTGTATGACTAATATTGATTCTAAAGAAAATCTATAAAAATGAAACCTTTTTCTGAAATGGTGAAATGCACGTAAATCGGCGGCATTCTGTCTGCTGATGTATAATGAAAATATGAGAAGCACTTGAGTGCCAGTTAATGTAAGTGAAGCCACCTCTATTAAAGAACAGCACCTGTCTTATAAATGCTGATTTTTAGCGTTTCCTACTCGATTGCCATTATAGCTCACTCAGATGCTGAAGGACCACTGAGTAGTTATGCAGGGATAAAGTGGACGGAGTCATAACTTGAGGGCAGGACGGGATTGCGCGACTGTGTGGCATTTTCAGGGTGCTCAGCGGATCAAAAGGCCGGATCGCCCCTAATTCATGCGGTGGTGCGGCGCCTTACGTACAGGGTCTCCCAGGCAACACAGAGCAGCGACGCCAGCACCTTGGAAACCCGCTGAGCAGCCGCCCAAG